CTGCTGCAGGGGGGGGGGACTTTGTGCAGATCCAGGAGCGGAGGTGGTGCCCGGCTGGGGTCTTCTCGGATGTTTAGGGGGACGTTGGGCTTCTTCCAAGGGCTGATGCCCGGTGGCTGAAGCTGTCCCGTGGGCACTGGGGATGTGGGCCATGTCCGAGTTCCTTCTGTCTTCTCTCCGCCGGCTCCAGAGCACCCTGCCTACACGCCCAAGGAGTGCTTCCAGCGCATCAGCCGCCGCCTGCGCTCCACCCTGAAGCGGGGCCGGATCCCCATGGTGAGCTGGGGTCTGCTGGGGGGCGGTGGGGCCGGGGCAGGCAGAGCTCCGGCCGCCAGCACCCTGCGTGCAGCTTCACCCTGAGCCGCGTCCCCCGGGCTGTCCCCTGACCTCGTGCATGGTCACCGAGCCAGACAAGTGCCGAGTTTCAGATGAGCTCCTGGGGAATGTGCTCCGGCTCTCGTGTGGCCTCTGCAGTGGTGGCCGATTGCAAACAGACATCCAGCTCCCCGTGCAGATGGGTTTTCCTGGCTCAGTTCGGATTTTTCTGGTAGTCACAGGACCCTTTTATGTGGTCGTTTCTCGGTCAGCAGGTGACAGGGGAAACCCAGCGCGTTTCCCCGCAGGGGCAGCGGTGGAGCCTTTGGGGTCGTCAGAGTGGTCCGCTCAAGGCGACTAGGAAAACCTCAAGGGCGTTTTGAAAGGGGTCAGACTGCATAAACTGCTGAGCAGGCGATCAGGCCTGAACAGAGAGGCAAGCGTGGCCTCATGCCGCCTGGTCGCGGGAGCCGAGCCGCCGTGCCGGGCCCCTGTGCCGTGCTGCCTGCCCGGACACTTGCTCTCCTGGGCCCCGGGGCGCCTGGCTCCCTGCTGTCTCCTCAGCGGTGCTGTTTTCCTGCTCTGTTTGTTTTCCTGGCTCTAATTAGTGTCTAAAAGCAGCCTCGGCTCCTCCTGCCCGCTGGCTTCTGCTCAATTTGTTCCCAAATGAGACGCACTGCTGCTGCTCGTCTCCGGGGTCACGGCGCTCCGGAGCTGCATTGAGCTGGTCTTTGCCTGTCGGGAGAAAAGGAGATGCAGGGCACGAGGCTTTCCTGGCTGCGCCGCTCTGAACATGAGGGATGATGCCAGCCCTTGGCACACAAAGTACCGAGTTGGCAGGGGACGGATTCTTCCTTGCCTCAGGGGCTGGAAAGGGGATATGTCTCCTTTCCGTGTGCCTTCCTGCCGTCTTGCATCCAGATGACTTGCCTGGGAGCTGCTG